TGACTTCATGCACATACCATCTCATAGTTTCAGGCAGAGTCATCCAGAAGTTTTTATGCTTCCTTTCCTTCCTTCTAGGATGGTCACACAGACTGACATATGCCATCAGAGTAAAATTCGGCACTGTGGCATGCAGTATTTATTCTGTGCCTCCAGCTCATGTCTCTGGTATGAGGCTCCTCTAGGCCACTATACTAATTTTGTGTTATTAGGATCCAATAATCTCTATTAGGCTAAATTAAAGAGCTCTAGGACACAACTTCGTCCCTGTGACGTAACTGTGGCACTAGCACAGGGACAGTGCTGTCTGCGTCATCTCAGAGAAGTCACTTGGGCTCTCTCTGTGTCAGCTTTCAATAGTAAAACAGGGCATGGCTGTTCCTGCGACCTCACCGAGGCACTGGAGGGACCAAACACTCAGTTACTGGGGGCTCGTACTCTTGTGTCATGAAGCTACACGGAGATCCCAGAGATGAGGAAGTCTCCCGATGCACTTATTAGCTCAACTCAGCCAGCCACATAAGAAACAGACTCAGAGCTTGGAACTCGGCTCTAAAATATCACACCCTCTACTTTCCCATGTTGGGAGTTCCCATGGAAACCTCCAACCTTCATTAGCCCAGTAATTTGCATAAAACAAAGATTTTTAGGTTGCAATTGTAACTTAATAGCTAATTACCATTCCCTTTCTTTCGGCAACATATAAAGAGATGCGCTGCTCTTTCATCAGAGGTGAGGCACTTACAACGAAAGCTCCAGGAGAGTAATTCAGTAGGTCCCAGAGAAAGGCAGACCTAGATCCCAAGTCGCTTTCGCTCACACCCTCCCCTCTCTTACCTTTAGCATAACCAGAGTCATCAACACTGTCTTCATCAGACTCGGCAGATGAGGCACCATCTTCACTTCGCAGGGGGGGAATGACGCTGTCCCCTTCCACAACAGCTTCCTTGAGCAGCAGGGAATCAAACTTCACAGTGTAGTAACCACTGTCGATGTCTACAGAAGGAGAAGCAAGGAACAAGAGTTCAAGAAAGTCTCCAAGACGCAACTGGCAGAGGGCTTTCTAAAACAGAGGTAGCTCCGGTGGAACCACATGGGAGAGGGGGAAGGCCCAAGGAACACCTGTTTTAAAAAAAATCTGTTTTTTCTTTGTGCTTTAGATTTCTGCCTGGGAGGGAGAAGCACCCACTGCAATGAAAAGCTACTTCCACAGTGCCTGTGTTGATACTTAGAAGTTTATTTCTAAAAATGAAGAAAGACGGGCTGCTGAGAAATGGAATTAAAGAAAAGTTAGACTTGCTCCCCTCTGACCTAATAATAGTCAAAGAAAGATGGAAAAAGAGAATAAACCCTCACCCTTCCCAGGACACGGGGAAGCCTGTCTCAGCAGCTGATGGGCAGGGCCAGCTCCCCTGGCTTTTGTTTAAAAAAAGAGCAGATTATTGCAATTCTAACCTAATATGCATGCAAATTCCTGCAATACCTGCCTCTTCCCTTTCGGGGCAGTTAATGAC